TACGGCTGCATGACGCTCCTCCAACGATCGGAGGAGCCGTCCGGTAGTTCAGTACAGAGCTGGTGGAGCTCTGTGAGCGCCCCCCCCCCTATGCCGGATGCCTACCATGATCGGCCTTGATGATCTTGAAGCCCGGCGAGAAGCGAGAAGTCTGAGTTAGAGAGAGCAGTCGAGCTTCTTCGACTCTGTCGTACGGGGCTTCCACGAGTCACGTATGATTTTAGGTGTGGATAACGGGAGGAATATCAGCAGTGTGACCTCCAAGTTTCGATCGTGGATTCCAGCTTGGGGGCTTCATCCAGAACTCGTGTCCGGAGGAATTTAGTTCGAAGTTTCCCACCGGAAGACATGGCCCACAATGGGGCATCGGGCCTGCCTTGGCCTCTGAAGCTTTCCGGGGCGTCAATGATCTTCTCCCGGACCGACGACGGTAGAGTTCCTTGTTTTATGTATAGTCAGCTCGTTCGAGCGGACCGCGATGACCGTATCTCCGGACTTGATCGATGCCATCCCTGAGGCTGTGACGCTGCAGCGAGAAACTCATTGTTCAAGGGCGTCCTAGTGTATGAGTTTGCGGTCAGAAAAACATGAGAGAAACGGTTCCACTGATGGCGGTCGATAGCATTTATATGTCAAGGAGGGAGGAAGCGGTTTTTCGCAGGAGACATCCGCGCAGCGACCGAGCACAGAGCGAATAAAGACGCCGCTTTCAGAGAGTAACGACCTGCGTTTATTTATATCCGAAATTTCCGGATGTATCAGCTCTATCATATTTGCGGAATAAATAATGATGATTATCTACATATGTATATATATACAGGTTCCCATCACAATATTTACAGCTCGCGGACGGGAAACAGGATGAAAGCCCCTCAGAAGTCGATTTCTCCTCGGGCCCGACGTCCTCGATGAGAACATCCGGTCTCGCTGACGCCGCTTGATGTCCGACATGACGTTCCATCTCCTCTGATCGAATCTCGTCAAGACTTTCCATCGGCGGGGATGCACTCCTCTCGGATTCGCTTGCGAATCCCTCATCGCTCTCCGCCTCGGACGAGGTACGAGTTCTCCGACAGTTCTCATCCCGCAATCGCGGTGCCAGCAATCGCAGCTCGCTCTTAGTTGAATCGAAGTCAGCTTGCAGTTGCGTGGTGTCGAAACATCCGACCAGCTTGAAGCGTTGAGACCAGCATCCTAGGCTGACCTCAAGGGTTTTCGTCTCTTCCTTGAAATCCAACGCGATGTCTTCGCCAGCAACGCCCTTCGGAAGCCTTATCGTAGCGAAGCCTGTTCGACCATCTTCCGTGGCTTCAAACTCGAGCCTGTTGATTTTCGATTGCATCCAGAGGGGTTTCCTCGGCACACGGGTCGGAGTACGCGATTTTCTGCAGGTCCGGAACTGCGGCGCTCTTAGACGCCGGCACGGTGAGGAACATCTCATCCCACGGTGAAAGAAACATGTCGATGCCTTCACAGAGTTCACCAAAGGTCACACAACGTTAATGAATTCGCAAGCTTTCGCCGTTGACACTTCGTAGGATTCGCTATGGCTTTGATTCCACGCGCTTTGGGTCTTGGGTGAACTGCCGCCGTCTGTCTTATATAGCGTGAGCAGCGCCTCCTGGTGGATAACGCGCGAACATTCTAGACAGCGCGAGCTTGTTCTACTCGATTCTTGGAGCACCGAGAAACTTCGATCGATGATTCCTGGAGTCTTCGCTATCTAGGTCGATCCCTTCCCTCCTGTTTTCTCTGTCGGCGATGCGATACGGAGGGATCCTGGTCGAGCATCTCGCCTGAATCAGCGAGCCATCGCGCCAAGGGGATCTCGGACAGGTGAACCGCCACCCACCGGAAAGCTTGGCTATTGGCGGAGGGCGCGGCGGTGTATCCCAAGGAGCGGATAGACTTAGAGGTCTGAGCTGGAGCCTATCCGACTCGATACGCTCCGGGAATCGAGGCGATATTCGAGGATCGATTCAGAGGCGGATTCCGCCTATTTCTATGGAAATCCATCTCGGGGTTTCTTGGCAGGTCCTGCAAGTCATGGGGAACGAGAGGGGTCTCCCAATTCTGCTGTACAGGGCGTCTAAGCACATCGAGGAAAGAGTCGCGACGCGTTTGCTGGGAAAAATGACGGCCGAAAACAATGACTCGTCCCTCGCTACTCGAGTCAGGTCGCGGCGCAGCTCAACGTCTCCCGCCAGTGAGCCCATCTCCTGCAAGCTCTTGTCGACCGACCTTCCAAGTTCTCGACGACCGACCCGATCCGATGAGGCAGGAGCTCAAGGTCGCCAGAGCCCATGGCCCAGAGGGATGTGAGCCCAAAAGAGGCTGAACTCTAGATTCTCTACGGCAGTGTTCCCCAAACGTTTTTTTCCGATACGCCACCCGGATTTCGAGGGCGCCACTGATCTAGATCGCGGAAGGTCTTGCGACTTCGAGGAAAGCAGGACACTGATGTTTCTCGAGCGAGGCATGATCGACCGGAGACCGATGGCAGACAAGTCAAGCCTCCAGGTGTGGCGGATCGGAAATTCTATTGAGATGCGCGGAGCCCCACGAGTCATTCCACGATCGAATAATTTCGGGGGTCAATGACTCGCAATCGCCCCATCCATGTACAATACAGCGCCGCGGCTCGCGGCTCAATCTGAATGTCATTCGACGGAATTCCCCGCGAGCAACTCCAAGTTCGATCGACAATGCTAGTTATGATTCCAATCGGGACAGCTATTCGTGATGATGCCGGGGCGAACGTGTCAATCGACCAGAAGAGGCAAGGGAATTAAAAAACTCTCCCGAGTCCGATAAATCAGGAGATCCCCTAATTGATCCCCTTACTACGACCCTCCAAGTGCAATCTTTTTCGCCACGGCTCACCACCGATCGGATGGAGAGCCTCATAGCTCCGTGATGCGACGGGGAATCGGGACTCGGGATGCGTCTGTCAATGTCTCGACCGTTCGGGAGCGTCAAACGAATCAGAACACGTCGGGCTTATCGGCCCCTAATGTGGCCGACAATACGGCCAGTCGCCCGAGGTAGGTTCCCCGAAAGGATCGACCGAAGACCCAAGATCGAATTGGTACTTTCCGGATTGGTACCGTTTTTCCCCGATTCTCCAGACTGTCTGATCCCAGATCTGGGGACCCCCGCTCCCGAAAGTCCCGGAGTGCAAGTCACGAACATCGCACATCCCAGAGATCCGACGAGAGGAATCGCCTCCGAGCCAGGAATCCAAACAAATCTGATTCCCAAATCCCTTGGCGACATCTGACTTGGCAGGGGCCTCTTCTTGTACCGGAATAATCATGCGAAGATTATGTTTCCCGATTTGACCATTTTCATAGATTCGGGCGCATTTATTCGAGTTCACTCCTGAAATAATCGTCGAAGAGCCATCTGTGTTGTGACATCCGGCAGTCAGTTGACGCGATCGGGGTTTTCTTCGTCATTCCTTGCCGATGACCGATGACCGTCTACATCGTTTTCGACAGCCCCCCCTTCCAGAGCTCCGGATACGATCAGCATACATCGCGCAGCCTCTGATTTCGCAGTGGAGACGGTTCCCGAAACGATGGGCAGTGGAAAGTTCCAGAAAACTCTAGGCGCCAGGCGAACTTTCGAGTTTCAGCTCGAAGCTGCCAGGCGGCGCCACCTCCGCCTTATAAACCGCAAGAGCGCCGGCCAGGTCCATAGCGATACACGGCTGCTCAGAGCGACGATATCGTCCCATATCGAGTTCATTACGCGACAGCTGGCGATGGAAACCTTATTTTCTCCTTGGGAGTTCGATGCCTTCCACCCCCACCATCGACTCCCGCGATGTGGAAGACGGTTTTCATTCAATCCCCTCCGAAGAAGTCATCATGTTGTGAAGACACCTCGGGTCCGTCATTTTCGTGAGCATCTGATCGAAAATCCGCTGCTGGAGAGAATGTTCGATGTGAATAGTCTCATGAGGAATCTCCCGGGGAACCGGAGTCTGCGAGTGCAACACGTGGAAAGCTCCACAGACGATCGATTTTGCCCGAAGCGAGTGAACACGGACGTCCGAGACGGAGTTGCGACAACTCGGATCCGTCTCCCGTGCAATACTAAAGCAGAGGACGTGCGGCTAGACCTCAATGAATTCTCCAGGAGTCTGACGGTACGTGTCCGAGATGAGGAGCAGAGTTTCCAGTTGGACCCTTCCTTCGACCTTGAGCTCTTGAAAGCTGCCTATGACGAGAGCACGTGCGAGCTCTGTCTGAAAGCTTTCGCAAGGGATCCATCCCGAGTGGAACAGAAGCTTCCAGAAGAAGAACCTCTCGACGTCGGAAACACCAGTGAAGAGGAGCGACCCCCCTCAGAGGGTGCCCCGTGCGAAACCGTGGAGAGCTCTCCACGTTCCATCTGCATCGAAGACGTCGGACCAGAAGAGGAGATTGACAGGATATCGATCTCGTCTACCGAGATGGACTGAAATCCTCCCGTGATCTGAGCTCATGACTGATCTCAAGTCAAGTCAGCGACAGCTCCCCCCCGGGGAGGAACAGCTGCGCTCGGTTGTTCATAGGAATGTGCAAAGCAAAGATGCATAATATATATTTGTATATGCTCGCAAAAGTTTTGCAATAAATTATAATGAACCCTTAATTCACGATGTCATGATACTGTATCCCTTTCTTAGCGACCAGGCTGTCGTGGGGCACGGGGGCGAGCCTCAGGTGTATAAAGTCCCCATAGAATACGGGTCAACGGGGGACCTAACTTTCAGCCGACACCGATGTTGGCGATTCGACAGTTCTATGCTCAACGCACGGCCCCATTATCCGCATGACGAGATTCCCGGAGCAATTTATCCCGGTCTTTCATTTTGCTGAGCTTCGTTTATTCGCCAGCAGCACATGGATCCAGAAGTAGAGACAAAAAAATGTGAAGCCTCCTATTATCAACCACCTTGCCCATCTCTCGATGCGGTCCGCAGTCCAGGGTAGTCTGTACCAAGGAACAACCCTCTGAATGTAAGCTAGAATTCCCTGCAAAAACATGAACGACGTTTGCTCACTGGACTTAATCACGGATGGGAAATTCTGGGACTAGGAACTCACCGCCACAGCCTGAAAAAGATCTCTCTGATCGGTCTTGTCGGCGATATCCCGGAGGATCCTTGTCGGAGGGCGCCGGTAATCGGGCTGACCACGTATCGCGGGTATGGTCTGCGTCGGCATATCCCGCTGGAAAGTCCGCGTGGTTGCTAGAAATTCTCACAATTTGAACTTTGCTCAAGGAGTCGGGATAGCCTTCTGAATTCAGCGAAATTGACTGAGCTCACGTCGAATCTTTGTACGTAGCGGAACAGATCATCTTTGACTCTGAGATCAAGATCTCTCCTCTTCCGACGTGCTTCGAAATCCGCTTCGGACGTGTTCAACTGAAAAGTACGGTTCTTCTGGTACGACTCTTCTTCTACTACGAAGACACGTTTCCTCGCAGAAAAGCTTGTCCGAGACCGACCTGTTCAACCAGACAGCATTCCATCGTGACCATCAAGACCGTGACAAGACATGCGATCATCCAAATGTCGGCGTACTGAAAAGAATGAGGTCCCATAAAACGGGGTACGCCGTAGCATGCGGGAGGCATCTGGCTGTGTCATGGTCGACATTGTCATTTGATTCCAGGACTCCAGGGTAAATTGACTGAGAAGGAAATCCGTGACATGGGTTCGACGGGGAGCTCGAGTTCTCCGCAGTTCCAGTACCTGTTCCCGCACGGATACCTTGACAGAGAGGTCGCATGGAGGAGACTCAAAACTTCAATACCCGTCGCACAGACCATCGAGGCTGTATATCAACGAGCTTCTCCCGCGATCCTACTTACCGTTATTTGTCCAGACTGAGGAACCGATAGTCTCGTCGAACTGTAGATAGTGACGAGAGTCAGGAAAGTCGTGATGCTGAGTGTGACACGTTCGGTTCGAGCCTACCGAAGTAAACCACGTGAAAAATCTGTACGCGGGAAAATAATGCGATTCTGCGGCTGAGAAAGTCACGAACCTCACTCGGGATGAGGAAAACGCCAAAGGAGACGTACACCAGGAGACACGATGGTAGTATTGCACCGAGTAGCGAGTTGAGGATATTGCGCTTGAAAATCAGCTGTAGACTCAGTCCGCAAATGGGGAACCCTGGGGGGGAGACTGAAACTGAATAGGGCTCTTCGTCGCTTCGTCGTGATCTCTAGCTCGGAATCGACCCCAAAACCTGCGACATGCGAAGTCTGGACTAAGATTCGAACGCACTGTTTATCGTTGCGGTGGACTCGTAAGCGCCCTCGGACACTTCGAGGTAAAACTCCGAGAGCTTGATCGCAGGATTGACGAAGAGACTCCCGTAAGATTTCTTCGGTAGCGAGACACAATCTTCCGACCCATCTGAGTTATTCCAAAAAAGCCTCATGACAGCTGCATTGTAAGCGACTGTAAGCAGACACAGATTCGGTTTTTCCTTTTGATTCGTTTTCTTCATGATCGATTAGCTCAGGATTTTGACCATCTACTTGGCGAGATTTCTCATCGAGATCCCAAACTGAGGGGAGCATGCTCAGAACGACTCACAGTTCGATATCGTCATGCTGCAAATTTGTTCATCAAGGGGGAATGAGGTGAATTGCAGTGAGCACGAGAGGGTCATGATTCTCCTGCAAAGGCAACTCTCATTCGCATCTGATGTCTTGAAGTCATGACTCCAGGGCACTGCATCTTCCACGGACCCGCTCGAAGGCGCTGCGTTTCGAGAGAGTCCGGAGCGGTCGGCGCTGAATTTTCCTGGCGCCAGAGGTTCCGGCGGCGAAACGTCCCCGTGCTTCGGTACATACACCTACGCTACTCACCTCTGCTTGTAGAATGGATAGCATGGTATCCCGGAAAAGTCGTACTCGAAATACCGAGTTGATTTCAGAGGTAGAACTCGAGATGGGTAAGAGACCTGCAACACCTTTGGCCATCAGAAGCCTGGCGACGGAAGATCCGGAGTGATCGTGCTCCCACTCCCCTCGAGGACATTCTCGTCCACTGCAATCATGCTTGCTCAAAGAAGAAGGCGGCCCCGATCAAATTCTGTACTCACCGTCGTAGCCTCAGTAACGAAGAGGTCGGGGAAGAAATAGCTATATGCTATTACTTCGGAGACGATCGGCACCCGTTCATTTATGAAAGTATCCATGCTAGAGGTGGGCGCTGATGCGGCGTATGCTTTCGACATATTGTTGTAGTAATTTGGACAAACTGTCTCGTTTATGATGGTATCCATGGCGAACGTGAGGTCAATATCGAAGTCCTGCGGTGGAAATTACCCGCGCTAAGTTCCCGATGAGCCAAATTATGACCTCTCAACTTCCTCCAGACTTCCTTAACGGAAATCGTGATAATCAGGCGGATGCCTCCAATGAGCGATGCAAGGCTCACTCAGCTCGGAGCCGAGTTGAAGCTCCGGGTACGTGACAAATACGGCCGTAATCGGTACAATCCAAGCTGAACTGTCCTTCGACCCATCGATAATTATTATAGGTGGCTGTCCACAACACGATGATACGAGTGAACGCTCGAGACGCATATCTTGTCTGTGTCATTGAAGGGGGCTGCCGCTTCTACTGAACCTGATTCGGTTTCAAATTAATCCGAGTACCATTGTCTTGGTTCGCAATTCACTGACGTGGTTGACGAGTACGGTCAGTCCAACGTAAACGGCCCGGCTCTGAGCCGTCATGCTCGGAAACTTGAAGTAGTCCTCGTCGATAATTTCTGTTGTTGTTTCTCCCGCGCCTTGCACGGCATCCTCATCTCCTTGGGCCCTCACCATATGGCTTGCCAGGCACACCACACTGGAAAAGAGTTGCGAAGACGGGCTGAGGAGGGGAAACGGCTTCCTCAATGAAGGCTCCATTAGGCGAATCCTCTCCGGGTTAGATCTCACCTGATACAGCGGACAAAAAACTCCATGCGTTCGCTACTCATCGGTTCCAGATGTATAATCCTCGTGAGACCAAACAGAGAAGAACCCGAATGTGAGAGATCAAGCTCCGTTCGTGCTGTGAATGATTTCAAGCCTGGGTGAATCGGGTAGGCTGCAGCGGAAATGGGTCCTCGGCGGACTTTGACCGGAAATCATAAGCAAAGTAGAAAGTCGGAACATACAAAAGCTGTTCGTCTTCGACCGGTCCACACGACGACGCCGACGCCTACCGCTGTAGAATTGTTCGGAAAGGAGATTCATTCCGTCGCCTTCGGCTTCGGGAGATTTCGAAGGGCTCCTCCATCAGATGGTTTCCCAGGGCGGGTAGCGAGCGTACGTGGTGATACCCTTTCCATCGTGGCAGTCTCAAGCTTCGAATACTCGTCGCGAACCGTCGCTCGCTGAAAGCTTGCCATGTTCATGGGCAGGACATGCGGAACTTCAATCCGAAAGACAGAGAAATGTCTCTTCATCGCCAAGGTCTACGAAAGCTCCTCCACAGAGAAAGACCAGCAGACCCTTCCTCTCAGCATGGACTTTGCATCCACGCACCGGCGCAGCGTACAAAAGAGAGGAGATATGAGAAAGATGGAGGAATCAAGTGGACTCCAGAGTCGCCGTGAGGAAACCGGCGCCCCTGGTTTCATTCCAGCGTCGAGGGCCGCAACCCGTCACGCTAGGCTTACCCAAGCGTCTAAATCTTAGCCAAGATTTCAGAAGA